AACTTAATTAAGGATCTTTTCAGCAAAGTGAAAAACAATCTTTAAAGCTAATCAGACACTCAAACACTCACATTAGTTCATGGACTTAGATTCAGAGAAGGGTCTCTAAATATGACAGGAGACATATACCTAATGATGACTGAAGAAAGCAGAGGTGCATACCACTTTTTTACCTGGGGCTACAATGCATTACAGAATGATGAATATTTTGGAGGTTGCAATTTGAATGATGTTCTGGAGGAAAAACAAAGTCTAAATGTAAGTGGAAAAAATTATTTAACCTATACTAACCTGGCATATTCTGATTTTACGCATACAAAATTATATTATTTTCCCAAAGCTGATTTCTATTTACATCAATGCAGTTACACTAGTGTGAATAAGAAGATTTTCTTCTCAGTGTACTTGCAGCAACACTTATTTGCGCCAACATTTGAAGTACAGTCATATGGAGAACCCCTGTTAGATTTATTAAATGGGATGAACATGGCCCCTGGCAGAATGCTCAAAAGGAGCAGAGCAGTCCCCTAGTACTGTGTTCTTGTGGTCCTCAAATTGGGAGAGAGAATGAGAGAGCAATATAGAAAAAAATGGTTCCTGAAGCCAGAGACTCCCGGGAGAAAGAGGGGTGGCAAATCTGGCAGGGAAATGCAGATTGTGAAAACCTTCTCTGTATTCTCACCAATGATTTATAGAAAAAAGCCCAGAAGTCTTCCTCAACTTTCTTTCTATTACATGTGCCAGAAGTACGCTAATACGAGGTACTCTTTTATGCAACCTGTAGACATGAATGTTATCTGTAGCAATGAAAATCTACCAATAGCACCAATTTGCTCTGTCTCTAAGGAGTCTATGTCTGAAATAGCCACGTTTAATACCCTCTGGTCACAATGAAAAGAAAGAAATATGTTTACATCTCACTTCACCCCACTTGTTTTAGACAGTTGCTTTAAGCAGAGGTGATTAGGTCCCTACAAGTGCTTATTTATTTCCAGTGGTTGCAAAGAAAATCTAAGCAACAACTGTAGGCATCTAAATTTGATCAGATAAATAGTAATCCAGAGAAACTTTCACCTGCACAAGGAGGAATAAAAATCAGGATCATAACTCTGGAAATAAAGTAATCTCGGTACTGCAAATGCAGCCAGCAGTGAGTATGTTACAGGTGCTCGTAGATCAGTGAAAAGCAAGCACTGGCCACAATAAAGTGACAATTTTACAAAAACAACCCCACATTAAAAATGGGGAGAAATTGCTAAACTATAGGAATTTGGCCAGTGATATTTCATGTCTAGCAAAAGTAGGTAGTGAAGATGCAGCTCCATTAACTCATTTGGATCTCCTGATGATTCATACCAGAATTCAGGAGGAAACAAAGAGATTCAGCAGTTTTTGAGTGGGTCTTAGACAGAGGAGCCAACATGACTCAGGCCTGGTTATGTAAGGAAATCTTTCCATAACAATGAATATTATTTTGTAGTCTTTTAATATTCTGTGTGGGTGTTTACAAAAAAGAGATGGGTTACTTTTAGATATGGCAACATCCACGTGCACACGTACATGAAAACCAGAGAAAGAATAGACCATGAGTCTAAAAATGAAATATAACTCTGTGGCAATGATATTTTTAGCAGATGAAGGACAGAGCATAAGACTGCTATTAAATAAATCATAATTTATTACACGCGCCTCTATTTGGATGCCCAGTTAAGTACCTAATTACATGAAAAATGCAATTGCCGTGTAAAGTGATGTTAATTTGCAAGCACACATGCTGAGCTTAGGGTTGTCATTCAGGTACCTGCTCAGCTGCATGCTGTTGTGCACCACCTGCAGAAAATATTTGTGTGCCTGTCAGGAGGGTTATTAGTGAGGAAAACCATGGCTTTGCAGGTTCAGTGGGCAGTCTCACGGTCTATCCAAGACAGCTGACAAACTTCTTTACAATGCCTAACCAGAGCTCTGGCAGTGCAGCTTTTTTTGTTTTGATGAGAGGATGTGCAGGGAGAGCCCTTGCTCTGCTCAGACTGTAGATGCTTTTATTTTCTTGGATTTCATCTCCAGTTGATGAGTTGTCTGCTATGCTTACCTGCATTTTTTTTTTATTCTTTTCTTTACTTCCTTGACACATGCTGTATGTCATTAGAGAGCAAAAAATACTGCTAGAACTTCTATTCTTAGTGTTGGTCCATTTGCTTTGTTGATTAGCATCCTAGCTGTCAAAGAAGTGAAATGACATTGCTTTGCAGTACCTGCACTCCACAGCACTAGCTTTCACATTGTTCTTTGTTTGCTTGACAGGTAGAAACTGTTTCTGGTTTTCCTCATGAATGCTTTATGTGTGATACTGAACAGCTCACGGTGACAGCTAAAACATAGCAAGCAGCACTAAAGGACATTTCTCAAATATGTTTCTTTGCCCTTTCTTCACACTGAAGATGTTAATAAGACTCAAGACTACCTATGTTTTTCTATGGAGGAGAGGATCTTTACTGCTTAAATATCTCTACAACCTTGTAAATATTACTTAGGTGACAGAAAATGTGGATTCATTCTGGGAAGATTCTCTGATTTCTTTTACAGCTTTGGCTTTAACATATTATTTTAAAAGCTTCTTTCTTGACCCAGAAGTAACATTGTCTTACATATGCATCAGTTTTACTGTAGATTGCAGGGAATGAGGTTGAGGGAATGGAGCTTTATATGACTGGCCTGGGAAGGGGCAAGTGAACAGGGAGGGAGGGTGTGTAAGGGGACAGGAGAAAAGCTAAAAATGTGGAGGAACAACCATTTCTTTCCAAAGAACTGAAGCCGAAGAGCTTCAAAGAGGACTTTGCAGCTGTCGAGAGTCCGGTTCAGTGAAGTGTACTTTATGTTGGTGTTGATAGAAACTTTCCAGAGAAACATACAGATTTGATAGACTGTTAATATTTCTGATGAGTTCAGCTAAACTTTCAACAGGCACCAGCAGGACAGTTCTTGCTAGTTGGTGGTACACCAGTTCCCTGATCAACTGCCCTTCTGGCCTTCTCTTCCACGTCCAATGGAGTTTGCCTGTGCAGAGACATAAGGCTGGTTGGCAGCCAGCTCTTAAGCTCCCTGAGCAACTGACTCTTGGGCAGCCCAGCTCTGCGTATCATCTCCAGGTCAGTGCTCAGAGGCACATGTCTTACGGTCCAGAAGGCTGGGAGCAGAAAAGAAACTTCTGCTCTTACTCTTCCAGCTTTTATTTATTTTTCTCTCACAGATGTTATCTGGCTTTTTAAAAAATCCCATACTTAAAGGACAGCTGATGTGACAGTGGTGGGAGATATCCACTTCAGCTTTCCAGCACTCTGACAGAATGTAATCATGGACCCTGTACGGCCTGTTTCCAGCAAGGGTTCCTCCATGCCTCTGTCATATTATGCCATCACCACTAACTGGATGACTTCATTTCAGCTGGAGGAAAAAGAAGCTGCCGTCTCTTTAGATTGTGTAAAGCAACCATACAGTGGTTTTCACTTATTTGCTCTGTCTTCCTCTACTGACAAAATCTAGGCGTCCTCCAGAAAGCTGTTCTCTCACCTGCACTTATCATTCTCTTGACCCCCATGGATCGAGGACTCTCTGCCTTCAGCCCTGTTTCTCAAACACAGATGCCTGCTGGCCTCTGCAGAGATCTGTGCGTGGCTAGACTGCTCCACATACCTAAGCTGCAGAAAGCAATATTTGCTGCAGCAATGCTGTGTCAGCCTCCAATTTATCCTGCTGAGCTTTTGGCCGTGCTATAGGGAAACAACAGTGTGAGATGATGGCAGTGATTAGGATGTTGATTTTTAGGTGCTGGTGGACAGGCAAGTACACACAGATGCTGGCAGTTGAGCAGCAATTTAAAAATTACTGTAATACTAATGTCATTCTCCAAGTCTAGCTTGCAAGAAATTTTAACATTTCCCGGAGTCGATATTATAGCTCTGAATTTCACAGAAGAGCAGAGGGCCACCTCCAGACCAAGGGGAAGTGGATGCAGCAGTTCAGTTCTCAGTCCTGGTCCTCAGGATTTCCAGTTTGGGCAACTGGCTGAATGCACCAGAGCTCCCTCCTGGCTTGTAAACCTGCCTTCTCCACACACCACAGCCCTGGAGAAGTGGTGAAGGGTGGAAGGCATTTTTGCCATGGAGCATGGAAACATGGACCTGAACCAGGAAGTTGTAAGGTTGGACATGACCTACTGAGTCCTAGAGAACACATAGAGAACACAGTGAACTGAAAGGCAAGATGGCACCACTTTTTTTTTTTTTGCAGAGGATGTTTTTGACACTTTTTGTTTATGCCGCCTTCTTCTTCACTTTTCCTTATACTGTCAGCAGGGCAAAACCAGGAAATAAAAAATGTAATGAAGGCAAAGAATTTTGCTCTCTCCAACAGGAATTACCTGATTTATAGATGTCTGAGTAGATAAAAAAAAAATAGTGAAAATAACCATAAAAGAGTTTCCTGATCAAATATTTCAGACAGTAGTTCTTCCCTTTGAAAAAAAAAATGCAGTTTTAAAAAGCTACAAAATCAACACCAAAGCACACATATATCCATGCATACATGTGCAAGTGCAGAGATCTATAAAATATATTACACACACGAGCTCAGTTTTATTCCAGTATATGCCTACGGATTAAATTCCAACTGACTGAATTAAATAATTAAAATTTTGACCACATTAAATGGAATCTAGTTTTGTGTATGTATTTGTACACAACAGAATATTTGTGTATTCATAAGAAACTGAACAGCTATCATTCATATGTTGTATATACCTGCTAAATAGTGATGGCCCAATCATGTGGTTTTGTTAGGCAAAAATAGCATTTTTAATCTCATTTTAGGATGATAGCATTTTAAGTATATATTTACTCTCCATTTACATACTAACTTCACCAAAATAAAATAAATTGAGTAAGAAGAAATGCATCTGCTGTATACATATTTAATCCCTTCTCTTTTTGTTCTTTTTCATACAGAGATTGAAAGATTTAAAACAAAGGGAGTTTGCTCGAAATGTGGCTTCAAAGTCGTGGAAAGATGAGAAGAAACAGGAAAAAGCACTCAAGCGACTCCACCAGCTTGCAGAATTACGGAAGCAGTCAGAATGGCAAGTATTTAAAATTCATGTTACGTTTTAATGCCCTTTTTCCTCAGTCCCAGAAGAAATCTCCATATTTTTACTCCTACGCTCCGTAATGTAGAGAGACTGTGTATACTGTAACCTCTTTTCAGCTGTCCCTGACTCCAAATGTTCCTCTTCTGCAAACCATAAAACTGGAAGTCCCTGAATTAATTACTTGCTATTTGAAGGTTTGTGCTTTTCTCTCCTTTAACTTCATCTCTTTTGAACTGAGTGGTTTGAAGATGGTTGTATAATATCACTGTTTTACCTTCTTCAGACTGACCTGAATAGAATAGTATAACTGTCTTATCATGTGATAGTAAGCGAACGGGAGAGGAAAAACACCTTTTAGAGAACCTGTACTTAGTTTGTGAATCATTTTCACTGCTTTCAGCATACTGAGATTATTCTCACAGTTTCCCTGTAGAGTAATGGAAGTATCACTATGTGAATGAAAAAACAAGTAATTAACTGAGTTAAGTTTATCCAATACTGTTAGCCCTATTGATGAATATCAAGATACAGTAGAAAGTCTGCACTAATAAACCTTTACATTTGAGAAATCTCCTTTGTTTAATGACACTGAATGCTTCAGTAGAATAGATTGCCACCAGACCAATTGTTTATGTTAATCTATGACTGTAATGAGTTAAGTAGATAATTAAACTGGTATCTTTTTAAATTCATATCAAGCTTACTGTACACTGGAAATAATAACATTCAGAGTTTATTACACACTCATTTTGGCCTATGTAATTACTTTTGAGTAATCTGCTGAAATATGACAGTAGTGCTAATGTATCACTTTTATGATTACAACTCCATTTTCATACAAATCTACTGAAAGAAATGTAACTGCCTGTAGGAAGATGCCTTTATGCCCACGCACTTGAAGATGTAGTCTCAGATAGACTGATAGGGTCAATGGTAATAGGAAAGCCAGAGCGAGACTGGGAGGGAAAGCGGGTTTGCTTTTAGAAAGAGCCAGGAGTCCATAATCCTATACAAAAAGCCTGAAAAGACTGTGCTTGCTATTCCTGTTTGTGATGATGAATAGGTTCAGGGGTGGCTGAGAGCCATGATCTTGGTGGAGGGGTAGCATTCCCAGATGCTCAAGAAAGACAGCCTTTGTAAGCAAAAGTCCACACACACAAAGAATTGTTATTGTCCCTGAGTATTGTGTCTCAGGTTCCAATAGAGTTCCTCACAACAAGCTAATACAATTTGACAACAAAATTACTGTTAATATTGTGCACAGCAAAACTGAACATGCAGCTTTATTTTGCTGTTCCGATGAGACATTGAAAAGGATCTCTTTACACACCTTCTCCAAGAGATAATTCCTTCTTGATGTACAAATACAGGTGATTTTGTATCTCCTGATGCCAAATTAGTGACAAATGCAAATATATTCTCAGAAATGCATACATATTCTCATACTCTGAGTTGACCCTACCCCAGGGAGTCTTTATGTCATTCCCACTGATGGGGATCAATGCATTTTTACAACATTTATAAAACACACTAGCCTATTTATAGATAGATGCTATGCAGATCTGGCAGTCGTAATTTACTCACATTTAATTAAAATATTTTCTAATTTTTAATCAAACTCTTTACTGAAGCTGGTTCCAAAATTTTTTCATGTAAGTGTACTGTAGTACTCAATTGATAGTAAAAGTAGATAATTTTCCTAATGGACTGCATGTTTAAGATATTACTTGGAATATCATTTTTATGGTAGCTATATACGTCTCATCTCTAATGGAAAATGACAACAGTCATTCCAATCTCAGTTAGTTACCTATTGCAAGAAATCAATGATTTACCATGTTTGTTAAAGCCTTCTTGGAATAGGTTGACTGTTTTTTTAAAGTACAAGAAAACTAAAACACGGATTTAAAACCTGAGAGGTTTTGGGAAATGGGAAAATGTAATTCATGAAATTAGAATACAAAAAGAGAAAATATGGCAAAGTAAGTCTAATGGTGATTGATAATGAAAGCATTGAAGTTTCCATTTATATTGATGGAAATCCATCTTGTGTCCTTTTCCCCACCATTGTTTGGTGATGGTTTTAGTATTAATAACTCTGAATATTCCACAAAGTCATTTATTGTGGAATAATACAAAGACAAAACAGAAAATCTACTCTTATAAAACTCATACACATCCTCCAAGTAAGCAGAATGTTGCCTTTTATAGAGGTGGACACTTCCAGATGGAAGGGTCTCATTTTGAATAAGGCACAATTATTTCCTTTGCAGTGGTCCCTCAGAAAACCAAGACTTGCCACATACCAGATTCTCCTTGATATAAATTCAGAGTAAAGACAATATTGTTTATTCTGGATATACGTGGTCATAACCACAAAAAAGAGCATTCATGGGATACCTTCAGATCATAATTTCCTGTATGTAGAGAATATCTTGCCCAGACAGAAGCGCAGGCTCAAGGCTAAGCTGCACATTTACCCTTTAGAAACATTACAAAATGAGATTTCCCTCATAACAGCATGAGTGACACCCTTCTTTACCAGACAGACATTGTCAAATAGGAGTTCTGTCTTAACTTGGTTACTTAATACAGTTTTATTTATTTATTACCTTACAGCATCACTGGGAATGGACCATTGCTTAAGGCCCCCAGATTAGTTATGGAAAAGCAGCAATCGCCAGATGGCATTTTCCTGTACAAGGGCAGCAAGTTCACAGCCAATTCTCAACAAACCACCACGAGTGAAGGACAAGGTTCCTCCAGCAACATACTAGAAAAACAGCAGCGTATCATAAGCAAGCACCAGTCCCCTACTGAAAGACCCCATGCACTTGGAGATCAAGTCTCACAAGTGCTCCCAGATAGCACCAATACTTCTCAAAGGGCAGGAGTGTCTTTCTCATTCTCTAAAAAGGTCCCTTTGAAGCTCGAGTCCTCAGCATCAGTCTTCAGTGAGAACTCTGAGGAAGGAAATGATTGTAGTGAATCCCCCAACCATAAAATAAAGCAAGCTCTTGAGGGCTGTCGTTTTGGCACACTTTCGGAGGAGGACATGAAAGCAAGCTTGGATAAAGCGCCACCTATTACACACGGCCAAATGGACTTGGATAACTGTGCATCAAGTCATGCAGCCGCAAAACCCAAAATGCTAAGGGAAAATGAAGAAAGTAGTGATATGCAATTAGAAGAAAAGGTCAATGCTCATCCTCCATTTTCCAAAGTCAAAATACAACTTTCAAATTTGGATTTTTCTGGTTCACTTAGAGAAACAGAGCAAGAGAGCAAATTGAATGAGTCCGAGCAATTGTTAGAAACTCTTATTTCACCTTCGTGCCAAGCTAGCAATTTTTATACACAGCCGAAGACCTACAAGCACAGCAATGCCCACCTGCCTGACCAGTTACCTGAGCTCCCACAACAGCCAGAACCTCAGCTGGCATGTGCAAGCAACATTAGTGACGGTCCTGGGGTGGTAAACAGAGAAAGCTCTTTGGAGAGTTCAGAAACCACAAATGGGAGTATGGAAACACTTCCGAGGGAGACCATGGTTAAAGAGAATAAGCCCCAGGCATTGCCTTTCCTCCATGTAGTGAGCAAAGATGGCACCACTGCTCTGCAATGGCCCACAGAATTGCTTTTGTTTACAAAAACTGAGCCCTGTATTTCATATGGCTGTAATCCATTGTATTTTGACTTCAGACTCTCTTTAAATCACAGAGATGGTAAACAGCAAGAAACAAACAAAGCAAGCTGTAAAGAACACCCTATAAAAAAGACTGCAGATGAAAATGAAGCCTCAGGTTTAATAAAACACAAGCAAATGTCAAATGAACAAGATAATCAGTTGTTGAAACCAAAGAAGATGAAAGGTTCCCTAAATCCAAGAAAGGCCAAGCAAAAAGCTGAGTCAGACATAGGGAAAG